CCTCCTCACACCACAAAGGAAACAGCACCATCAACAACCCCACCAGGGTGGGCAATATCCACCCTCAGTACAGCCCCATCCTCTCCCTCACCACAAAAATCCCCATTGCTAATCCAGTCCCAGGCAGTGGCTGATCTGAGCTTTTCCTTTTACTTTACTGATCACTGATTTAACTTCAAATTCCCTAATAGTGTGTAATCTCCCTGTCTTTGTCTCAACTCACAAGCTTTTAAATCTTATTTTCTCCCCCATTGTTGAGAAGGGGGGCTGAGAGCAGCTGGGTGGGCATCTGGGCAGCCCACCAGGGTGCCACTGCTCTTCTCCACAGAGAATTCCACAGGGAATCCCTCTGGGCACATCAGTCAGCAAATACAAGCTGATTGAAGGCCCCAAGAAGTGGTGAATGCAAGCACCTCTATTATGTAAGAACTTTTCCTGGATAATGTTTCAAATAACAATTTGAAATTGTCCTGCATTCAAAGCTTTGCTAAGAATCTCTCAAGGATTCCCAAACTGAGCAACTTCCAGGTGTGCAAAATATTAATGGTGGCTTATGGTGTCAATGTACCAAGGGCTGGGAAACAGCCAATTTATTGTATCAAGTATCCCAGAAAACCAGGCTGCTTCCAGCACCAGGATTCTGGCTGCAGTGGCAAGACAGCAATCCCAATCCTCTGGGACTTCCCTCTGAAACCAGATGAACAATTTTTTGTAAATTACTAATCTAAAGCAATTTGTTGTTGTTGTTGTTGTTTCCTGCTCTGGTTATGTTTTAGTAGCCAAATATATTTTCCTTCCAGAGAAGAGCTGGGAATCCAGGAACCTGCAGCCAGGGGAGGCAGCAATTAGTGGTTTGAAGTGTTAATGGGACCACAGTGGGAACTGGAAGTCCCTTGAACTCAGCTATTAGCAAATTAATAAAAGGGGTAACACGCTCTCCTGAGTGTTACAAATTTAGCACTAATTAGAACTTCTCTTTCTTAGCTATTTTAGGCAAGAAAATCTTCAATATCCTTTGTTAAATCTTAATCATCTTGTTTGTAGAAGTAAATCATAGGGAAACATTGGTTTCTCCACCCAGCTACAGTCTATTAAACTTTTTACATTCTCCTGTTCTTTGTGACATGACTTATAGCTAGATATTTTGTAATCAGTTAGCTTTATTTATCAACTCTTACCCAGAGGAAGGTTTTCTCTGACTAAGACTAACCTACAGGCCGTTAATTTGTCACAGCCCATCCCTAACTTCTCAAAGATCCCCCCTTCACAGGAACATCAGTGGTCCAATTTATTTATATTTGTTTTATGTATTTATTGCTCATACATTCCAGATGTTAAACCTCATGGAGTTCTTGTAACTGGCAAGCATCTCTTTCTGCCAGAAATACACACATGTAGATCTTTGTGTATTTTAACTCTTGGGAATTAATCACGAGAGAAACTTAATCAAGTTTGCAATGATGAAAAGCCCTTAATTAGAGCAGAAGCCAAAATGTCCTCCTGCTCTTCTTGCACTGCCCAAATCTCATCGAAACCTTGCCTGAAGACCAGAAAACAAATCTCACAGTTGATTGGATATATCTAATTGTGAATTGATGTCCATGCTTTTGCAGATATGTTTCAAATCTTGCCTGGCGGCTGCGTTGGCCAATTTGCCCATACTGAGGAAATTAATTCATTTTTAACTACAGAGCAAAGCTGTGATGTTGGGCAATATATGTCTCCCTTTCTGCAAAGAATATTACTTGTCTCTAGGAAAATCAGTGCATTGCTAAGTGATTGACAGAACCACAAAAGATTTAGCTTTTAATGTTCAGGAAACACTGATGGAGGAGAGAAAGCCCTACAGGCTGGCTGAGGCAAAACAAACTCACTTCCATTCAGCAAAAGCCATATTGAGCATTAAAGAGGAAATGGAGATGGAAGGTTACATCTTCACGGATGCCAGTAAGTAAAAAGAGCATGTTAGAAGTAATCAGTGGGGAGCTCATGGTTTAAAACACACCTGTACAGGTGCACACCACCAGCAGTGCTGAGAACTGAAGCAGACACTATCTGAATATACACCATAAAGCCTGAGCAATACTGGACACTGTCAAGGTGGCTTTCATAAATTAATGCAAGATGATGTTAAAATCTCTATTTTACAACCAATTAGAAAGGGTAGTTTGGCAGCAGGATTAATAACCTCTGAAACAAATGTAGCATGACAAGGAAGATTCCATGACCAGAGCTCAGCTCAGAAGACTGTTTCATGTCTAGAAAAACTGTATGAAGACTGTTCCTAGTTAGCCTGTGGAGGGAAACACAAAATACAGTCATTTCTGTTTACTTCTGCTAAACAGCTGGTCAGAGAGTATTTTCTGCACTGTGTGAGCCTAAAGCAAGTGTTGTTTTTACTTTTCTCTACTGCATGAGGTAGGATGCAAGTGGTGTTCACTGAAGTGACACTGTGGCATCCTGTCTGCCTTTAGGGCTCTAAATACTACCAGTAACTGAGTCCTTTTTTCCCTCCGTGTGGGTTATAATTGTGGCAATAAGATGTGTGAGCCTGTGAGCTGGGCAGCGCATAGATAAATTGCAGATGATGATTTAATGCTGGTGAATACAAGTCTTGTAGTCCTGCAAGCAGCCTGGTACTGGAGAGGACCTTTGAGGTCAATTCATTTCCCTTCTGTCACCGGCAGCCCTCTGAAAGAAGCTGCATGACAAAGTGACCCAGCTCCATTACGAAGTTAATTTTTTTGCCACCATTTCTACTACTGTAATGGTGCAGGAAGAGGAATCCTACAGTAGGTCCTTGGAAATGTAAAAATCTTCCTATTGCCAGCCTTAATATACTCTTATCCGGTTTATTCACATCTTTCTTTTCTGCCAAAATTGTGCTTCTGCTTAAATAGCGCTTCTCCCTCCTGTGTGCTCATCCGTGATGTATTTATAGGGAGTCCTCTCTCAGCATTCACTGCATGAGATAAAACAAGCCATCCTTTTTTTAGATTCCTTTCATATAACAGACTTTCCACAATCTGAATCATCCTTGCAGCTCATCCCTTCACCTGCTCCTGTCTGGGCATGGGGAGCAGAACGAGCTAGAGCAGCTATATATTCTCCTACCAGGGATTTTTACAATGCCATTAATACTGCCTTGTTTCCTTACTGCTCTGTTGTACGTTTATATACTCTCTGTATGTAGACTTCTTCAAGCATATAAATTATGTTCACAGTGAGCTATCAAATACTGGTGTGTCATCTCCTCTGGGGCCACTTGTGCTCCTTGGGAGTGTGGTCAGCATCTTGCAGGCAAAATCCTTCAGTGCTTTTCATCTGGTGCTTTTTCATCCTTGATAGCTCCTGCAGAGTGTTTCAGCATGAAGATGTTTCAGCAGTCATTACAAAAGCAAGTGCATCATTCAGAAAAAGCACAATCCATCCATCTTCTTTAGTGTCACCAATTAATAGCTGCTCAGGATGCTTTGCAACCTATAGTTGCTTAAGGGAAGAAAAATAACCACCCCTTCCTATAGTGCTGCGCTGTCATTATATTCTGTGTATCCAGCCCAAGCAAGGAAGCTTTATTAATCCACTTGGCAATTGCAACAGGTTCTGATATGGGGCTTTAAAGAAGAGTGAAAAAACAGTATAAGAAGGGAACTAAAAACCAATTGGTAGACAAGATTATTTCTTTTTATTGGAACCCCATTTCTCTTTTTGAAGCCAGTGGTCAGAGCCTGATTTGTTGGCCACACTTCTGTCTGCTGCTGCCCCTCCAAGCAAACAGTGCTGAAGCCACCAGTTTCCTCCACTTGATGGAGCTGGAACAGCCTTTTACTTCATGCTTCTGGTTTGGAATATTTTGCTGCAGATTGTGCAAAATAAGAGACCATTTTTAAAAGGGAGCAGCGTTGCCTTTGTGGGCAGCTCAGGCTGGGTCTATGTGCTCACTGCTCCAGTCACAAGCTGCTAGAGCAGAGTCATTGCACCCTTTGGTGAAGCTCTGCCTTGGGCACTGTCAGAGCACCTGGAGAAAATCCAGACCCACATTTGCTAGACCTAAAGATGCATTCCCCAAACTGCCCAAAGCTGCTGGCTCCAATCCCTCCTCCCATCTCACCTCCCTGTCTAAAGCACTGTGGCTTTTGCCACTGGCCACACCCCAAGCAGGACAGGAATGCCACCTCTTGAGGGGAATCAGCTCAATCCCAGCCCATGTGGCATAGTTGGAGCTTTGTGCCTAAGTGTAATGGAACCTGATGGAAGCTCATTAAAAAAAACTATCCATTTTGCTGTCTCTTCAGTGTTTAGTCATAAAAACCTTATGTTGTCTCACAAGCCTAAACAAGTGTGTTCACATGTAAAAATCAGCCATAAAGCTGCCTGGAGAGTCCTTAACATGTCTAAGCTGTCATTTGTAAGGGCTGCCTCAAGCCTGGATCCTGCAGGCAGGAATGACCTTTCTGCTGTCCTCAAACCACCCTGCATAAGTGGGGCATCCCTGCTTCAAAATGGGAAAGAGAGACAAGCCCAGGGATCCTTCACTGACAGTCATGTGCAGTGGATGTTTCTCCATCTGGCCTCAACAGGAGCTGGGAATCAAAGGCAAAGAGTACTTGTTATATTAGAGCTGTGCCAAAGATGTTCAGAGGTTAAGAGAGTGTAAATCTAATAGGAGTGTTTCCTGGTCTTCTCCTCAACCCCAGCTAGGCTACAATTTTTAAGGCAAAGTGAATTTCCTTTAGGACACAGGAGTCATCATGCTTTTTTTGCAGTGGAAAAAAATTATGGGCTGTGTCCTCTTGGCTGCCCCAAGGGAAAAATCAACATGGTTTAAATGGCAGCTCTCCCCAGTGTCTGTCCACGATGGGATTTTCACTCACCCAAACTCTGCAAAATTCAGAGTTTCTGCTGAAACTGGGCTTGTGCAGGAGGTGTATCTGGGTGGGTTTCCCTGGGCAGGAGGAGAGGGCTGCTTTTGGGGTAACTCCAGCTGTGTCTCCCTGCAGGCGTCGGAGGTGGAGCGGCAGCTCTCCCTGCAGGTCCACACCCTCCGGGAGGATTTCAGGGAGAAGCATTCCTCCAGCAGCCAGCACATCGTGAGGCTGGAGAGCCTCCAGGCCGAGGTGAGTCACCTGCCTCCCTCCTGCACAAAGCAGCCAGGGCTCCTGGAGTTGTGTAATGACCCTCTCTGAGCTGGGCAAACACAATCAGCCAGTGGAGCCACCAGAGGGATGGCAGCACTGGGGCAAAGGACTCCCCCAGCAAGGATTGCTCCATGGTGTTCTGTCTGGGCTGGCTCACAGCACCTTCCAGTGCTGCCTCAGCCACAGCATTCCTGCAAAATGAATGGATGAGAAGGATCTTCCAGGAGCCAAACCATGGCTGTGCTCCTGCAGGGCTGCTGCCCAGTAAAGATTAAACTCCGGTAGGAATGGTGGGAAGGTCTGCAAGGGTTTTTTCTTCTGTTCCTCATGCTTGCAAAGAAAGCAGCAATCCTCTCTTGCCTCTGCACCATGCACTTGGGAAAGCAAGGAGCCCCTGCCTGTTTTAACTCAGGTTCATTTTCAGGAATGAGACAGCTTCCTTCCTTTCCCCTTCCCTGACAGGGTCACTGGGGTTCACATAGGCAGAAATAAATGGGTAGAAGATGTCCAACTCTACTACCCAACCACTTCTTTTATTTAAAAGCTGTCTGGAAAAGCTTTTCCTAAAATCTCTCGATTTCTTTTCTCCCGCTCCCACCTACTCCTTGCTGGTCCCTCGCCTTTTCTTCCCCTTCCCTTGGTGTGGAGCAGCAAGTCCTTGAAGTAAGTATGGAGGCATGGAAAAGGTTTGCCTGCACATACATTGCTGTCACCATGCATGCCTGTCACCATGCATGCCACACCTTGTCTCCTCACCTCCTTCCCGTCTCTTGCTTTCCAAACCCTTTCCCCCTGTGCCTTTCCCCGATCCAGGGCTCATGGCAGAGCGGTGTTTTTTATGTTGTATTGTTATTTACAGCATGTTCATTACTGGTCTGCCCACCAAATATGAAATCTTAACACAATCTCTCCATTAAACCTCTTATTTTTCTTTCTCCAACCCACGCAAATCATGGTGGTGGTGGGCAGAGACATCTCAGAAACCATTAGTCACCTCAGAGCAGCTTTCCAATACCTCCAGCAGCCTTTACTCTGCAGAAATAGCAAGTCCACATACTTGGCTGATACTCCTTTGTGCAGCCAGATCTTTCCAGCAACCTGGAAAGCAGCAAAGAGACAAGGTCCCAAAGAGGCCAAGAAAACTGGGAATTTGCTGAATTTCTCTACACTCCATGAACTGAAAGGAGGCCATGAGGAATATTTAGGGTTATACTGGACTGGTGGATGGCTGGCATACCAGACCCCAGAGATCCTGTGTGTACTAATGTGGGAAAAAGCTCCTTCTTCTTGGTTAAACAGAAGAAGTGACCTTGGCTAGTGCTGATTCATCCCTTGCACTGTTCCCAGCTAACTGAGTCATGGAGGGTTTGTTTGGCAAACTGTCCCTTGCCTGAAATCTCTGCCCTTGACAATTAAAAGAAATGAACCAATTTTAAAGGCAACCGATCACTGGGAGGCTAAAAATAAGCACAGCACAGAAAGGAGTCTACACAATTGAAAAGACAGAAAAATCCCTGGTGGGGACCTGATGAACACACACCAATTAAGAACAGCAATGGGCAGTGCTGTGGCACAGCCCTGCAGGGAGCAGGATCCCACAGGCTCACTCTGGATCCTGCTGGATTACCCTGTGTTCTCCATTACCCATACAGGAGAAAATGCCACCACCAGGACCAGCCAAAAAAGTAACCAGTTCTTCCTAGTCTTTTGAATGTGAAGGTTCAAGGGGTGGGCAGGGGTGATCTCCACCACAATATCCTTGCATATTCCTGTCAGTGCACACCCAGCCCCTTTGGAGCAGGCCCTGCAGCCTGGGGAAGGAGTTGTTTCCTTTCAGAGCTTTCCTAAGCTTTAAACCACACACAGAGGTAGCTTCTCTCATACAGGTACAGAACATCTGTGTACATCCTTCTGCTTTTTGCTGTTTCATTGCTCTCCTGGGGATGTGGTGTCTCTCCTCTCTGCTCCCTGCAAAGTCTGACAGGGCCTCTCTTTGCCCTGCAGATCAAGATGCTGACGGACAGGAAGCGGGAGCTGGAGCATCGCCTCAGTGCCATGATGGAGGAGAACGACCTGCTCCAGGGAACCGTGGAGGAGCTGCAGGACCGAGTCCTCATCCTGGAGAGACAAAGCCATGACAAGGACCTGCAGGTGAGCAGGCAGCAGTGAGACTGGGAGGAGACGGGGAGATGCAGTAAAAGTCATGATTTGGGGTAAAAATGGCCACAAACTGGGAGACAGGATAACTAGAGGAATGAATGGCAGCAAGCAAGGTCCTGGGTGTTCCCCATGAAGAAAGGTAACAGGAACATCAACGAGGCATCTTGACAGCAAAGAGCAGCTTGGGAGGGAGATCTGAGCAAGGAAGTGGGGCAGGGTACTGGCGAAATGAGGTAAATGCAAAAATAATCAGAGGACTCGGGTTACAGTTCATTTTATTTAATTTTTTAAGAGTAGAATTGGCTTCAAAAGGGGCTTCTCTAGATCCAGAGAAGCCCCTCTTGATCTCTGCTGTTCCAGAGGGAAGTCACTAGCCTCTTAGATCCCAGTGCTCAGGTGGTTTCCCAACAATCTCCATGGTGTTCACAGCCACGAATCACCAAATGTCACTCCCCAGAAAACAAGCTTGGCACCTCTTGGGCTTAAGGCAGAGCAAGGTTTTTCCGTTTCACTTCTGTGGTTTACCAAGCACTGGATGCTCAGCTCTGCAAAACAACCCTGAATATTTTTTCCTAAAAGTATATTTGTAATTTTCTTTTTAAAAAATGTAGATAGCACTTTCTCTTTGGATGAGGAGAGAAACCACTTCCTGCTGTTTTGTTTTCAGCAAATTTCTTTACCTGAGTCCCAACTTCTTCACAATGTTCTCCATTTTAGTGCTGATTAATCTGCTATTTTTATCTTTCTGGATATTCTGGATTCTAAACAGTGTCTAATGACACTTGGAGATTATTAAGCTCCAATAAACAGCAATACCAGCCAAGAGTACTTTCCTCCTGGCTGGAAGCCCTGTTTTGTGTCACTCATTCCTCCCTCCCAGCTCCCTCACAAACCAAGAGATTGATCCAGTCCATATTGCCTCCATTAATATTTTTCTGTTTCCTTGATTTTCTTCCCAAGCTGCACCAAAGCCAGCTGGAGCTCCAGGAGGTGAGGCTGTCCTACCGACAGCTGCAGGGCAAGGTGGAGGAGCTCAGCGAGGAGAAAAGTCTCCAAAACCTCAACACAACCAGCACATCCCTGCTCTCTGAGATAGAGCAGAGCATGGAGGCAGAGGAGCTGGAGCAAGAACGAGAACAGGTATTTGCCCTTCAACCTCTGGGAAAGCCCATGGGCTTCTGTGACCAGAGCAAAAGGGAGTTTAATGCATTTGATCTGGATTTGGAGCTGGAAATTGGGATTGGGGTGTGGCATCAACACCCTTTGACCATATGAAAGTAAAACTCTGCATCCATTTCCAAATCAACGTGGCAAATATTTGTGAGGATTGGCAATCCCACACTGCACTTTGTGACCATGTTCACAGGGGTCCAAGGATGAGGGAAGAGATGGGGATCTGACTGCATGTTTCAGAAGGCTTGATTTAATGTTTTTTATATATATTATATTAAAACTATACTAAAAGAATAGAAGAAAGGATTTCATCAGAAGGCTAGCTAAGAATAGAAAAAGAAGGAATGATAACAAAGGTTTGTGTGTCGGACAGAGGGTCCAAGTCAGCTGTGATTGGCCATTAATCAGAAACAAGTGCATGAGACCAATCACAGATGCACCTGTTGCATTCCACAGCAGCAGATAACCATTGTTTACATTTTGTTCCTGAGGCCTCTCAGCTTCTCAGGAGAAAAAATCCTAAGGAAAGGATTTTTCATAAAAGACGTCTGTGACAGCACTTGGCCATGGAGGGAGGCTGTGCATGGTGCTGACGGCCCAGGCTCATGGCAGGCTCTGTTGTTGCAGCTGAGGCTGCAGCTGTGGGAGGCGTACTGCCAGGTGAGGTACCTCTGCTCCCACCTGCGGGGCAACGACAGCGCCGACTCGGCCGTGTCCACCGACTCCTCCATGGACGAGTCCTCAGAAACCTCCTCAGCCAAAGACGTGCCCGCCGGGAGCCTGCGCGCCGCGCTCAGCGAGCTCAAGAGACTCATCCAGAACGTGCTGGACGGGGCAGACTCCACGGTGAGTTGGTGGCACTGAGAGGCCTTGCCTTGGGCATGTCCCCTAGCCCAGAGCTTGCTGCAGGTGCTGCTGGATCCTGAAGGTCCTGGTGTCTCTCTGTGGCACAGGGCACAGCCCACTCTTTGTGTCTCAAATGGTCAGCCAAGAGCCAAGCATGTGGGGTTTCAGCCTGAAGTGCTCAGACCACCTAAAGTTTCAAGCTCATACAGCTGTCATTGGCCTGGGAGTCATTCTGGAAAATTAATAAAAGTAGGCTTACTTTGAGATTTTCAGTAAGTTAGAATTTCAACGTGGATATATTGCAGGTTATCTTACACATCACAGTTCAGTTCTTTCCTTTGGGATTTTCCTAACCTTGCTTTATTAGCAATAGTACCATAAAAACATCATAACCTCTATGTCAGGAGGTTCTGTCCTTGTGAATGGTCATTGGTAGAAATGTCTTGGCAGGAGCTGCCAAATTCAAATTCATGGCAGGTTAAGGGTTTTGCTGGCACAAGATGATGTCTGTAGGATGTGGTCTCCAGGCTTCTGGGCAGAGGGGGTGGCATGGAGGGACCACTCAGCATCCACAGAAGTAAAGAATTACAACAAAACACCTCACTTTTTGTTGTGGCTCAAATCAGGCCTGGTCCCATTCCCTACAAATGGGTTGCATTGCCATTAGGGCTTATTTGGGGTGTTGTGGTGAGGAAAACAGTGTTACCCCTGCAGGGGGCTGTGAGGGAGTACTCACCCTCCTCACTTAAGTACCTATAGGCAGAGTATAGAGATGAAGTTGTATTTGTTAAATAAAACATAAAGAGTCCTGTAAAAGGTCCACAAACAGAGACTGTAGCCATGTGGGCTACCAAATGGGCAGTAGGTCTCTGTAAATTTGGTTTATGCCATGCTCTTTGCATCATGTGTGGAAGAACTACCCTTGGTTGAGCACCCTTAGTTGTGGAGGTATATGGAAACAAAAAGCTCTGCCAAAGTCACATTCACATTTTCTTTTTCATTGTGTAGCACCCTCATCCCAAACTGGTACCAAATTAATACAATTGCCTTTTTAAAGTGAAATCTGAGCAAGAGATTTCTCTCCCGCTCTCAGAGCTCTCGGCGAAGCGACGACGACACCTTAGAGGAGCAGATCAGGAGAACCAGTGAGGATTCACGAGCCCTGAGGGAGTTAATGGAGGGAGAACGGGGGAAACTGAGGCAGAGTTTGGAGGAGCTGCAGCGACTGCACAGCCAGGTTAGCAACTCCCAAACATTTCACATGTGGTCTTGTAACAGCAGAGTTCATCCTCCAAGACACACCTTCCATCAAAGAGACCAACATGATCAATAACCCAGGAGGATTTAGGCCAAAATGGTTGGATGAGGGAGATTTGTTAAACCAAATGCAGAGTATTTAAGCATTTAGGATGAAAATTTCTGACAAATTGTCTGGGGCCCATCTGAAGCATCATCTCAAGCAGCCAGACTTCCTATATGCCTTTCTCCCAGTCCACTTTTTAGCCAGTCTGTTATTTAAATTCTCAGCAGAAGACCTCACAGTATGAGGCTTCTTGATATGGGGTGCTGGAAACCCAAAGGTATCCAGTTCAGCTGACCTGAATTGCTGCACTGAGCCCTTGTGAAGGGTATGTGCACCATTCCATGGATATAAAGGTGCTGCTCTGCTGTGCATGGAGCAGGGCTTAACCTCTTCCACAGCAACATCACAAACCCTCAGAATATCACTCCCAGAGAATCCTAATTGTGGCCAGGCTGGCTCCAGGCAGCACCCCAGGGACCAGCTGAGGCAACCTCAACAGCAAGGAATGGTCACCCCAACACCAGCTCTACACCCATTGCACCCCCACCCAGCATCATCTATGTCTCAGTCCCGTGCCAAGAGCAGGAAATGGACACAGGCATCCAAAGAGGTGCTTGGCAGTCCTTGGCTCTGTGGGACAAGACTCCAGATGCTGGAAGGGATCTGGAGGCTGCAGCAGAAGCAGCAGCAACTGGACTGGAACATGGAATGGGATACATGTCTGGTCTGGTCTTCCCAGCAGTGCTGTATCACCCTTTGGAGAGTAAATAGGAAAACACAGCCCTGCTCAGAAAGTCAGCACAACCTGGGGTGTGACAGCCTTGTGTAGGGCTGTGGGAGCTCCCACCAAAGGGAAGAGAGTGAGAGCATCATTAAATACCCTGGCAGTGGTGGCTGTGTGTGTGCAAGGGTGGGAAATGTCCTGCTTCCACAGCAGCTGATCAGGGCAGAGTGTGGGGATGGGAGCAGCCCTGGAGCCTGTCCTTCCCCTAGGACTGCTCCTCTCAGCAGTGTGGCCACCACAAGAGACACTTGTGAAGGTCCAGCCTTCTGCCCCCAGTGAGACATGAGCCAGCCCCTGCCCTGGCTGTGCTGCTGCAGTCCTGTGCACCACACACAGCTTCCCTTGCCCTTAAACACACCTGAGATGGAGGAGACAAGAGACAAGGGCTTGACCTCTGCACCCTGGGAGTGCTGACAGAGACCTTTAGAGACTTATTCACAGATCTGAGGCTTGTCTGATCTCCCCAAACTCTCCAGCCAGGAGGGACCAGAAGACCAGCCCTGGATTGCAGGTCTGGAACCCTGGGTCTGCTTTTAGAGGTCCCCAGCTGCCAAGGCTCTTAATATTTAGGAAGCACAGGGAGGACTGCAGTTCTGTTTTCTTCTCACACCTCTATGTGATGTGGAGAAAGATGAGGCATAGCTACAAATGCAGCAGCCACTACTCTCAGAGAGGAACTCCAGCCTCCCACAGCCAGTACATGTCTCCCACAGCTTTTGCCTGTTATCCAGCCTCACACTTGCTGCAGGTTAATAATTACTCTCACCACCTCTTTAAGAGGCAACATCGTCTTCTGTTCAGTGCTACAGAAAATTGATGCATGTGGAAATCTGGTCCACCCGGGGGAAGCAGTGCTCTGCTGCCTCCTCATCCCTCTGTTCTGGCACTGGTATTGATACAATCAAAGGGGAGCTGCTTCTAAATGGCTTTTAGGATCTTATGGCATCACACACATTCATTGCTCCTGCCCAAGAGCACAGTGAGCAGGTGGAAACAGGAGCCATCCCCTTCTCTGTCTACACTGAGAAGCTATTTCACACCTTCTGCCTGTTTGTTTCCTCCCATTCTTACCTGAAGCCCAGACAGAACCAGTTAAAATCCCAAACCTATTCCCAAACATCATGTTTTGGGGCTTCTGGATTCTCTGTCCCCTGGGATTTCTGTAGAAGTGCTCAGCACCTTTTACATCACTCCATCACCACTGCTCTGTCACATCCTTGCTCTGAGGTGCTCCCCATGTGGGGCTGAGGGAGGGCACAGCTCCCCTGTCCCCTGGCAGCCCCGGCACAGCCCCCCAGTCCCGTGGGGAGTCTCTGCACAGACAGGGTGCAGTCACACCCTCCTCCCCCCGGCCCAGCCGTGCCTCACTAGCAGCAGATCCTCCCACGCCCTGGATGTGATCAGCCCTTTTTGACTGTCTGCCCTCTATTTAAAGATTTCTTTGAAGATTCAAGCACTACTGAGCTGCATTTAGAGGCAGGAGGTGGGTCAAACGCTGGAAGGGTTTCCAGGTGGTGGAGTGTGTAACAGAGCATGTGTGTGCCCTAGACAAAGAAATTAAATGTGTATGAAATACTGTGAAGCTGTGCTAATGCAATCCTTGCATGATTTCACACCCTATTAACTCACTCTGCACAGGACCAAAACCATAGATCATTTCTCAGACTATTAAAGACTCCAGACATATTTTAAAGTCTAATTAAAATTGTAAGATGTGCCAGTAACACCTTCCATGGCATGAAAGAGAATTTTCACATCCTTTGTCTACAGCTTCATATTACTTCAGAAGATGTAAGGATCCTTTCAAAAAATATTATTTGCTGGTAAATTATGTTAGCAATAATTTAACCCTGGAAAAGATCAGAATTATAACAAGCAGACTCAAAGGATGTGTACAAACTGCTTGGAGAGGGACAACATTTTAGCACTGATGCCATAATCTCAGCAAAGTCACAGGTGGGTCCTGCCCTGCCCAGCTTTCAGTGCTGTTTCTGCACGTTGCTGAGGCCATCCTGGTGGCACATCTCGCTCAGGTCAGCATCCCAGAGTCACTCAGCACCTTTCAGGGAGGGTGGCACCAGCACTAACAGCCCCACTCAGCAGACACAGCTTTTTCTGTAACCAGGGGATCTCTCAACCTGCAGGTTAGCCCATGTGGCTTTCCCCACACACACACTTGTGCATTTTCCCGAGCAGCCCCGGGTTTCACGGCCTCCCTGTGCCCGCAGGTGACGCTGCTGAGTGTGGAGATGACGACGCTGAAGGAGGAGCGGGACCGGCTGCGCGGCGCTGCCGAGGACAAGGAGGCGAGCGAACGGCTCCTGCAGGCCATCAGGGACCGCGACGAGGCCATCGCCAAGTGAGTGCCACCAGCGCCACAGCCAGCCTGGGCGGCACTTTGGGGTGCCATGGCAGGAGATGCCTCTGGAGTGGCTTTTCCTGCTCTCCACAGCAGCTCTGACAAAGTGCTGGTGTTGGGAAATGCTGCCAGGAGCCTGGGAGCAGGGCAGGAGATGCTAAAGGCACAGCTGGACTGGGGGCATTTAGGAGCATTCCGTGAGCCGTGTTTGTGCCATCCCTGGTGCTGGTGTGAGTCACAGTGAGGAGGAGAGGACTTCAGGAAGCTAAATGCAAACACTAGGTCTGCCCTATTTGTCACATTTTTCTTCCTTTGCTATTCCAGACACACAGCCCTGCTTTCCTGACCATCCCCATTACAGCCTGCCTGGGCTTCTTCCCTAAGCCACTCCTCTGGTCACTCCCTCTCCTTTCCTGTTCCAAGGTCTCTTTTTGCATCTCCAGTCCTGTAATTCTCTGGTTCTCCTTTTGGGATTCTCCCACTGCTTTGGCTCTTTATTTTGCCCATCCTCCTTACAGATCTGTGCAGTTCTGCTCCCCCATACCCCAAATCCCCCTTTCTCAGCTCTGTCCTTGGGCTTGCCAAAATGCTCTGAAGAGAGGGACAGACACCTTTACCCCTCTGTGCTCTGCTAGGAAGGATTCCTCTGATAATCCCTTCAACAAGCAGGTGGGCCAGGACACCACCAGTCCAGCTTCTTAGGGGAAAAGCCCTGGACAAGAGGAGGAGCGGGAGATGGTTGCACCTCAGAGGGTGCAGGAGCTAAATCAGCCTGCAGCATCCCTTTTTGTGAGTGGCTGGATCGCCTGTGCTGCCCCTGCTGGGCTAGCTGGCCGCCAGACTGCCACGGCAGTGCTCTGGAACACCTCCCTCTGTTGGCAAGGAGCAGGAGCATCCCAGCTGTGACGTTCCGGTGCCTGTGGGTTGCTGGCTCTGCCGTGGCCATGGCAACGCTGCCGCTGCCATCCATCCTGGAAACATCCACCCAGCGGCGGGGAAGCGAACAAAAGGCTGCTCAGGTGCTCAGAGCACAGCCCGCAGTGCAAGGGCACAGCTTCCCCACTTCCCTGGGACCCTGCTGGACAAAGCAGCAGTATTTGGGGCTGGTTGTCCTGCAGTGCAGGAGCTGTGGGAGTGGGGCACGAGTGAGGGGGATGAAGGAGCAGAGAGTGGCAGCAAGGGAAAGCAGACGAGAGCATCTTGTCACTGAAGTGAAAACATCCCTCCCAGACCGAGTGGGCTGGTTGCTGCCTGGGGAGGCTCGTGATTTTCTTCCCACCTCACAGCCCAAGGGTTAAGTTGCTTTTGTTCATCCCATCCCCCCCAAAAATCCTTAGCTCTGAACAGAAATAAAATCACTGCCCGAGGCAGACATCTGGTGTGGAAAATTTTTGCTTGAAGCTGAAGTTTGGCAACATGGGAAGCAATAGGAAAATAGGATCCTTTCAGAGGAAGTGTTAAGCAACCAGTACCTGGAATATAACACCTGGAAGTGTTAAGCAACCTTGGAATATTTCTGTTTATATTCTAGTACCTGGAATATAAACACAAATTCCCAAATTGCTCTTCTGCAGGGGAGCACAAGGGAGCTATTACGAGACAAGGAATGAGCTGCAGTTAATAAGATGCAATTATTTCTCTCGAAAATGTTTGCAAGGAAAGATGGTTCTCAGCAAGTCATGTTACACTTTGCTATCACACAGCAGTTAATTGAAAACTTAAGCTTTGTGCTCACCTGTGTGCTCCCAGCAGGATGAGCAGCATTTCCCAGCTTGGGCAGCTTAGGAAATTGCTCTGTCCTGAAGGACAGTTCCTTTCCACAAGCAAGGAGCAGCTGGAACATCTCAGCCACTGAGCATTTGGGGCTCTTTGGGTAACTTTGTCCATGGCATGACACACTCAATGGCCACCAAATGTCTGGGAAGAAATGCAGCAGAGCTGTTCCCAAGGGCTGGGACAACTCCATTGAAATTGGGAGCCTCCCTTAAAGTCTAACATTTCATTTAAATAATTTTGACTGTTTGTCATTCCTGAAAAGTATATGCTGTGATAAGCTCTCTTCTTTCATTTCTTCCTTCGATCCTTCCTTCAGTCAAGTCCCAAGGGAAAGCAGAATTGTGCTCTTTAAGAGCTTTTAATGTTTGTTTTATATTGCAATTTATTGATGGAGCAATCAGACACGAGTCATTTGATTTTTAGCACATATCATTTGTTTTCTATGCATGTAAACAGAAGGAAAAGAGAAAACATTTGAATATAGATTCTACCTTGTTCTAGGTCTCCATTTTATTGGCAGATCTTGCACATTATCCAGGCACGCTATTACCTTACACAGCAGTGTATCTGATTTTTTTTTTCAGTAGTATTATCAGTGTGCATATCAGAAATCTGCTGGTTTTAAGGTAAAGATGTCAAAAGTTCTTCACTCAGATTAATAGATTGTTCAGAATACAACAGAGATGGACATTCTAGGATGTGGGGACTTGCCAGTGAAATACATGAATTGTAGATTTGTTTGGATATGTCTGACTGTTTAGAAAGAAGGAGATGCCATGTTGGGATTTCTGTCCCTGCAGGAAGAACGCGGTGGAGGTGGAGCTGACCAAGTGCAAGATCGACATGATGTCCCTCAACAGCCAACTCCTGGATGCCATCCAGCAGAAGGTGAACCTCTCGCAGCAGCTGGAGGCCTGGCAGGTGAGACACGAGCCCACTGTCCCCCCTCCTGTGGGTGTGTCCTGTTCTCTGCCTCAGCACCCATGGATTGGGTGTTTGGGGGTGTTTGGGGGTTTTGGCTCTGCAGGAGCCAGCGATGCTCGTGGGGTGCAGGGGGAGCTGCCTCTCCCTGCTCCGACCCTTTTGGCTGTGAGCAGTGAATTCTGCAGCTCTAAACTCATTGAAAATGGAGAAGGAGACTGTGCCTCACATGGGAAATGTGCATGTTGCTCTGCCCTGGGCTGGGGAGGGGTCTGTGCAGGAGGTGTCCCCAGGCAGGCACACCCTGGTACACAGGGCACAGCATGGCTGTGCTTTTCCATGATGGAGCAGAAAGGTGGGAGAACAAGGTTGTGCTGATTGTTGCTGCACTGTTTGCATAAACTCTGAAGATCCATCAAGAAGGAGAAGCTAAAATTCCAGTTCTTCACCAAGGTGAAAAAACAAAGTCATGGCAGTTCCACAGCTGCCCTGGAGATGCCCTGCTTGGGGTCAGTGGGGAAAACCCTTGTGAGCAGACAAAGCTGCCTCCTCCCAAAACCAGCACCAAGGGAGGGCTACTTAAACAGAAAATAGAGCAGGCTCAAGAGCAAAGGTCTGTGCCATTTATAGTGATTTGTTGCAGACCATGCAAGCCCCCAGCCTGACCAGTAGAAACCTTTCCCGTACAACCTCGCTCCTGTTTCAACTCCACTGTGTTTTCGTTTCTCTCTCTCTCTCTCTTTTTTTTTTTTTTGTTCCCTTTTCTTTTCTTCTTTCTTTTCTTTTTCCTGCTTACAGTTTGCTTCCTCAGGGCTTTTTACTATCTGGCTCCTTTGGTTTCTGATCTAGTGGCCTTTCTCAGTTCCTGTACCAACAGCTTTAGTCGTACACCCCTCCTGCCTTTGAGGTGAGCTCCCCACACCCACCATGCCCTCTCCATCTGCTGCCACCATCACCCACATCCTCCTCTGCCCTCACCATCATCTGGCAAGAGGGGCCAGTGGGGGTCTCCATCACCCACCAATATTCTGCCCACCCCCCCCATCCCAGCAGCAGCCAGGGCAGCATCCTGCACCCCATGGTGAGGCTTTACCAGGGAACAACAGGCAAAGCCAGGCTGAGGTGCACATTTTATTAACCCTCTCTAGCCACATATTTAGTATATGGAAAGCTTCTTGAAAGACAGACCGGGATTTTGCTCTCAGCCTCATTGTCCAAGTGACACTCTGCTCTGCACAGGAGCTGTGAGGATCCAAATTCAGTCTGGATGGGTGCTGTAAAGTTAGGCCTGCTTTGTGCTAGAATAAACTCAGCTTAGGGGTTAAGAACAGGTCCTGTTGCAGTAACACAGCCACCCCAGACCTGCTGCCATCAGCTCTCTGAGCTGAGGCTCAGGCCACTTCATGGCAGTAAGTTGTCTCCAACACACTGACCTGAGGTGTTGCTACACAGCAGCAAAATCATTTCCAGCCACCTCCTGTCCCCTCAGCAGCAGCTCAGCCACAGAGGCACAAAACAAGTGGGGTGATTTATGTATTTTGGGGACTGTTTTTCAAAAGAATTTGCAGAAAAGTTTCTGATAAAATAGGATAAAAGTCTCTGCTTTAGCTGGGCATCACTGCACTCTTTAATCTGGTAACATTTTGCTTTTGCACACTTCTAGTCTGCATTTCACCAAGGGCTGTCAACAAGATGACAGTGTTCTCTAAGGACATAATCATACAGGCTGCAAAATAGGATTCAAGCAAAAAATCCTCCCCATCCAAGTGGTTTTCTCTCTGACTCACACATCTGACAGACAGGGATCCAATGCAGTGCTCTCTCAATAGTGCATACTGTATTTTTATATATATATATGATATTTTTGTGTATATATATGTATATATAAATATACATATAAATCCTTCTCATCCCTTGTTGTATGGTCAACCAAGGACACAGATCTGCCATGCAGGAGCCTGGGTACCTACTTCATTTAGCAGAAGAGGTGCCTTCCAAATCCAAGTGCTGTACATTTTCACATGGCAGCTTCAGCTCTGGAAACCTGTCTCACTGATATTTCATACTGATGTTCACCTCAACCTCTTCAACTCTCCCTCTGCTTTTCCTCTCTCCAGCCCTGCTCTAAAAAGACCCAAAACCTCCCCACTCTGTGTAGCTCTGCACCCTCCTGCTCCCACAGGGGAAGCCCCCATACTGAATTCAGGCCCAGGTCATGGCTATCAATCCTTTTCCCTACAGAAAATGCTGCAACAAGAGATCAGCCATTTTTAAGTATCCAGTCCCAGCTGGCTGATTTGATTCCAATCCAGAGCAGCTGGGGCACCTGCTGGGCAATGGCAGCACCTTCCCTTCAGTCCTGGGGCTGCCCTGACAGCCTCCCCTCACCAGGTGCTGAATGAACAGCACTTCACCACTCCAGCCCATCCAGAGTATCCTGACAGTGTCCTCAGCCCTAGTCAGGGACCAGACTGCTGGGGAGTAGTTGATTCCTCCTGTGGGGCTAGTTTGTGTACACACATTTTCACTAAGTTGTAGCTTAAATATGCAATTATAGGAGAAGCAATGGATCTGAAAGTTTAAAATCTGTAAAATTTATAGCCAGGTTTTCAAGAAACATGTTAGCACATCATTAGTGGCAACAGAACTGGGTAATTATTTTGTATAAAGGAGCTTCACTGTGCAGCAAACATGGACGAAATCAGAGACGAATTCCTGGTACACCTGAAAAGCCACAGTTCATGTTGAGCTGTCAGTCAGAGCTCCCACTGCTGTGCTGGCTCTAGGGGAAGGAGGAGCTCTAAGGGACGAGCTCAGTTCTGTTTGGTGAGTCTGGTGCAAAGCCCAGGAGGGATCTGGTGGGCCCACACCTGCCCCAGCCCCTCAGCACCGTCCCCAAAGCAGCCCCAGTGACAGTGGCCATGCAGCAGCTCTGCCACCCCTGCTGTCCCCTTGCTGTGCACACAGACCTGCTCAGCACAGACCTCCGTCCTTCTTCTGGCCTCTGCTCTCAGCTGCATTTGTTCTTCTTATTTATTTCTCCCCAAAGGGGACATCTGCAGGCTGCAGGCAGCAGAGGAACGCAGCTCAGGGGTGGCACAGAGTCCCAAGCATGCATAGAGCTCTTGTGAGAGGCCACTTGAGCAATTTACCCCTCAGAACTGTGTGATTGATCTTCCTCACTCCCTGCAAAGCCTCATGGCAGCGGGCACAGCTGAGCCTGCTGTGGGCTGGGGACACAGACCTGTCCCTGCTCCCTCATCCCTGCTCCATCTCATCACTGCACGTTCCATTCCCATTTCAGCCGCCCCACCCCAGCTCCCCTTGGCATCAGCTGCCACTAACAGCCCTGTCCTGTCCCTCTGCTGCAGGATGACATGCACAGGGTCATTGACCAGCAGCTGATGGACAAACACCCGAAGGAATGGAGCCAGCTTGCTTATTCCTTCTCCAGTGGCGCCAGGCGGGGCGCCAGGCCCTCCCCCAGGCCGGAGCAGCAGGGGGACGAGCCCGGCGGGGCCGAAGGAAACCGGCTCTTCTCCTTCTTCAAGAAAAATTAATTTGGAAAAGAGAAAACTCTCCAACAATTCCTGCTTCAAGATGGGGAGTGGGGCAGCTGCCCAGCTTGCTGATGGACCCAAGTCTGATCCACTGAGTAAAAAAGAAGGGGGCAAAGGAGTTAACCCTTGAGACTCTGCACTATTTACACCACACCTGGTCTGAACCAAATGTTTACATGAATTGGAGATTTGCAAATTGACAATGTGATTCTAGTAGAAAGAAACTTTTCTTATTCTATACGTGAAGTGATGAACTTCAGGGTATATTTTAGGCGCTTTGACACAGTCCAGTTTCTGCTGTGAAGAATTCTCTGATTGTCTTAAAAGCATTCTTATGCTGGAGAAGGAAATAAGCAGCCCCAAGACAGAGCGGTGCAGGGGATTGAGAACTTCTGTCACAGCGAGCAGAAGGGGAAGAAGAGAGCTGAATGCAAGAGGACAGAAGGGAGCCATTTGTGTCACCCTGGCAGCTGTGACATCCTTCATCCATCCCACTGAGACTGGAGTCACTCTGGCCCCAGCAATACCCTGTTTTGACAGATGTAGCTTTCTCCGTGGTGGAAGCTGAGCCCTCAGGGCAGCTCCTGCCTGGGCACCATCTCCCCTGGAGCTCTGCGTGGCCGTTCACCCTCGCTGGGATCCAGGCTCCTCACAGCTCAGGGCAGGGGACAGATGGGTGGTGTCACTGCCCTCTCCAGCTCCCTCCTGTTACAGAGGTAAGAGTTGCAGGCTGTAGCTACACAGATTTCTCCCCAGGAGACTGACCATCTACAACAGATTACAGACTGCATAAAAGTTGTGCACGTTCAGTCCTGGGGCACCTGCTGTTCCTCCAATGGCCAAAAGTAGTTTGGGGGCTTCAGCAAGTCACACACCTTTCCCCAAAGCCATACACATCTCCCAAGCAGAGTAAGAAAACTGGCATTTTAACTGGATAGGCCCCCAAAAGCCTAACTAAAAATTCACTGGAAGCCTACTCCCAGTGATGTCAGTCAGTCTCTGACACTGGGTTGGCAGACTCCATCCTCAGAAAGCACACTGGCATCTGCCTTCACTGAAGCCAAAGGCTGTCAGGGTGTCTACAAAGCTTTGGAGAGCCTGCAGGTTACTCTGCCCTATGCAGTAATACTGGCTGTGGCCTGACAGAAAGGAGTTTTGTCCCTTCCTGGGGGTCAGTTGCTACTCAGCCCTTCAGTGAGCAGGTAGCCAGAGGTCCTTTGGATCAATGACCAGAGCCTACTTTGCATGACTTGATCAACAAGAGGGAACGTGGCTTTTTTGGTGTATTCCAGCACACTGCAGTGCTGGAAATCCTGCAATACTCAAGTAGGGACCTGCCCTCTGCACTGGATGGGCACTTTACAGCTCCTCTATCAGTCTGCCATCATAAGCCAGTGAGGAGCACCGGGCTCAGTTCAGAGATGTCCTGCTGCTGTCATGCAATTTTCACACATTCTCCGAGCTCATAATACCCATGGGCAGGCCCCAGTTTGTTTCCTGCTGCTTTCAAAAGGCCACCACCTACACTGTCCCACAGCAGACAGAGCTGGCTGCACCTTCAGCCCTGCCCTGCTCAGCAACTTCGGTGCTAACACACCATCCCACAGGGAGCTGCTATCTCTACTCACAGGATCAAGCTTTCTGCTAGAACAGGTACCAGTCACCTTCTAAGCAGCAGGTAAGAGGCTGGTGGCTTGGGTTTTAGTGTTATTCAGCCTCCCTGTGGGATAGAACATCCATAATACCTCAGTACAAATAATCCTTTCTGCCTATGAAGATTTGAGCATTCCTGTATTTCCTTGTTACATGAAACCACCACACTGGTATGAGACCATGTTGCACTAAGGCAGCTCTGGGCTGCAAGGAGCAGAGTGCTCTGAGATTGGCCATGATAGTGAAGAGCTGAGTGGTGACACCCATCTACATGAAAGCAATGAACCCTGGACTGCAGAGCTGCTTCAGGAAATGCTTGGGCAAAGCCCCACCAATGCAGCTTGATGCTTTTGGGGAAAGGCATCAGGAGCCTCACAGGCAGGGAAGGAAACTGAAACTTGGCCTCCCCTTTCTAGGCAGTGCTCAGCTGTTGAGTATCTGCTTGTAGCCACTTGTGCAAGCGAGGGGAAGGGCTGCAGTGCAGTGCCACATGTCCTCATCCTGCCATCCTGCCTCTGCTGTGACTCTGGACAGGGCAGGGACACGAGGCACCTGCTCAGCATCTCCTGCTGCCAGGACTCAGTCACACCCTCATGCATTACCCCAGCCTTGGATGCCAGTGACACCTGTGACACAGTGACACCTGTGACACCCACGACACAGTGACACCAGTGAACACTGAGAACGATGCTCTATCGCAGGAGAGCCATGTGAACACCTCGGTCCTCAGGGACCTTTCTTCTGCTGTCAGCTGTCATTTCCCAGACCCCACCAGCTCTCTTCAAGCCACATACCCACCATGTGTGGGGCTCTACCCCAGTGAGGATGAATGGATGGATGGATTGATGGATGGATGGATGCAATCCTGAGGCAAGGGCCTTAAGTTTCCCCATGAAGATGCAGTAATGAGATGAAGAAAGGTGCCTTCTGCTATATTTGCTGAGGAAAGTGACTCAATCGGTTGCAGGGGTAGGCACAGCTCATCTCTTCATTTAATGAGAATCCTTAATCCCACTGCAATTTTATTTATTTAACAAGAGTGGCAGAAGAGATTGCAAGAGGAAAGTCTGCATGTTCTAAGGTGCCAGTTGGGTATGGTTTCTTCAAACAAGCCCCTTCACCCTAAAGACTTAGTTGCACTACTAAACCCAGAGATACCAGAGAACTGGGTGCAATGAACTGGACAACACACCAAAGGAGACCTCCTTGTGCTGAGCTGCTACTCCACAGGAACAGAAACTGCCTTAACACAGCAGCTAGGTTTTGTCTTCTGTCTTGAAAAACCTCACCCGTATTTGTCACGTTGTGTTTGAACAAGGTCCCGACTGCTTCACTCTGTGCTGTCATTAACTCACTCCCCTCCATCCTGTCACAGCCTGGAATCAGCCTTGCAGTGCTGGTTGGATGACACTTCACGTGTGGCACTTGACTCTTGCAGGACACATCCACGGTGTAAAGGACACATCAGCTCCAGGAGAGGAGATGGAGGAAGCCCATTAATCCAGCAGGTACTCAGGATCCCAGAGGAGATTTAATGAGTGGGATCAGCAGCTCTAAACACAACCCTCAGCCTTGCTTTTGAGATAATGGTAAATAAAACAGTAGTGCTGCACAGTCACTGTTCAAATACTGCACAGAGAAGAGATGCCTGCTGAGATTAAGGTTAAAAGGACTTTCCCACAGGTAACAGGTGACTCTTTGGGCAAATGTTTGTTACACCAGCCTGAGGGAAAAGGGATCAGTCTCCCCTTCCTAAACTCTGCAAGGGAAGCAACTGTAAACAAGGAACAAATGGAAATGAAAGGCAAGTCACTAGCACTTTATCTTCATACAAACTTAGATCAGCAACTTGCCATGGAGATGAACAGTAAATCAAAAAGTTACTGACAACAGAGTCATTCTGCAGAGAGAGCAGGAAGTGAGGTTGCAGGCAGGGCCACATGCACTTGTCCTACTTAGAATGGTAGATTCCAGATCTGCCTCTCCATCAGGCAAACTCTCTACTCCCCACTCGGCTATAAAAAGCAAGATTGTTTGAACCAAAAAGCCAAGAAAGGAAGTGTCTGGGTGCTGCAGCAATGATTCCCTTGGATTGAGAGGGAAAAAGCACACAGCAGGGACAAGCAGAAAGAATGTACCTATAGATATGTACATATACCACAGTGCTGTAATTTTTGTATGTAGCAGTCATGTAAATAAATGTATGGTTTTTATAAGATACATATTATAAAAATCTATAAAGGCATATTTTTAGTAAAAACAATGCTCTACTTCTTTTGTAAATAGTTCTCTTCAGAATAAAACATCATTTATACGATACTGTCTCAGCTCTCACCACTTTACTGTGCCCAGCAGCAAAACAAGCTCATTTTTTGAGCTGTCATTTAACAGCCAACAGCATCTTTGGTGCTGCATCAGCCCATGAAATTCAGCCAGGTAAAGCCACTGTGTGTGCTTAGGGGAGAAGGGGCCAGGGCAGAAACATTTGAAACATTTGCCTCTCTTGGTGCACAGGAACACCTAAAGGTGGGTAAATCATCTCACCTTCCAGCCACTGCTGTCCTTTACTGGCCCTGGGATGCAGGCAGACTCAAACTGGAAGGACTTTAACCAGCAGACACAGACAGTGACAAACAGCTGGCAGCAGCTGGAGCTCAGGCCATCCACAGCTCCCCAGGAGTCCCCAGGAGTCCCCTCCAGCTGCTCCTCCCAAAGGGCACAGACACAGCCAAGGCACCTTCCCAGAGCAGCTTTCCATCTCTACCAGCCTGGGCAGGGCAAGGGGGTGCTGAGGGCACAGCCACGGCTGCAGGTCCTGCACAGATTCATTAAACACAGAAATTCTCTGGGAAAGTGAGGAGAGACTCCAGATGATTTTTACTCACCTCGGGACAAGGAGCTTTTGAAGCTCACTCAATGCTTTTTGTTGAGCAGAAAGACAAAAGATTTCAGCACAATCACAGGCATTCTCACTTCACACAGAAATAAGTTCCACCTTCCTCTTTCATTCAAACTAAAACAGCAACTAAACATTTGAAAGCATTAATTATGTTTTTTTTTTAATATCCCCTCTCAGGAAATAACCCTTCACACTCAGCAGCAGAGCTCACCCCTGGCTTGCCACCCTCCACCTCCAGGTGCTGGACAGCAGAGGAAACAGAGCCTCAAAAAAAGATTTGGCAGCTTGTAACCTTTATTTTTAGTTTTTTAAAATTATTTAAAAAGCATAATTAGAAACTTCCATTACAGAAATAATCCTAGCAAACCAGTTAGACATTCCATTGCTCAACATTTAGGAAACTTCACATCAGCACCACTAGAGACACGGTCCCCACCCCTTCCAATTGAACAGTGATGGCAAGAGCAGAGGTAACTGCTCCTCTACAGCCAGCTCTGGGGAAAAAAAAAAAGAAATTCCCACTTTTAAGCCAGGAAGCTGAACCTGGATTGACAGAATTCCAACCACAGCCACAAAAACCTGGACTCAAAGAGGACCAATTTTTCCATATAAGAGAACACTCCAGGCTTGGGTGCACCATTTCCTCATTTTATTGCATCATTTCCAGTAAATTCAGACACGTTCTTTACTTCTGCCTATATGAAGTTACTCCCTCCTAGATCTGCACACAGCTACCAACAAGATTCCCAAAGTAACACAGCTGGGCCCCTCAGTCTGCAGGGGAACCCCCCAGCACAGCTCCAGGGACTGGCCCAGCTCCTCCAGCACACAGCACATTCCACACTGGAGAGCAGGCAGGAGGGACTGGTGTGACCAAAGCCACCGCTTTGCACAGCCCCTCAACCCTGATCAGAGCTCAGCCCAGCAGCACCATCCCAGCTCACTCCAGTTTTGGGTTACCAATGCAGGATATGTGAAGAGAAGAGGTGGGTGAAGGCAGCTGGATCCACATCCCAGCACCTGAACCCATTAAAAACCCCACGTGTTGCACATTCATCGTTTGCACTTCGGAAAAAGTCTTTAAAGTGATTGACTGTGATGTGATTGTATGATCAGGGCTCTCACCACAACCTGAAAAATCTAAAAAAATGCAGGCAAAATAAGTGACTAAAATTTAGCCTCTCCTGGAGAAAGGGTGAGGAAGGGAGAGAAGTGGGCTGACTCCAAGCTCATGGACATGGGTGAATCACATCCTACCAAACTTAGGCCAGCAATTCCACAGGGCTACTTACTGGCACATGGAGTATGTCCAACCTTCAGGGCCTTAAAGGAAGTCATACCCTCCATGCCTTTTAAGGTAAAATTATTTTTTAATATTATTTAGGCAATAATTCAGGTGCTGAGCATGTCCTTCCAGCCCAGACATTTGATATTTTAGTTACACACACACATACACTCTCCACCTTTAACTACATCTATTCAGGCTGAGGAAGTGAGCCCTTGTTTTCCCAGAAAGGCTGACCAGGGCCAGGAAAATGTTGCTGAGCACAGCAAGCCCAGTTTGTTTCCAAGTGTGATCCTCCACCACCACATAACCCAAGCAAGCAAGCTTTCCATCTCTTTGCATTAAACAGCAGTCCTCCTTCCTAACTGAAGAATCCTGGGAATGAACCTGCAGCTTTCATATTCAGACATCAATAAGAAGAGCTCGATTTTTTTCATGCCTTTTCTCTCTCAAAAACAAAAGCTTTGCCACCAAAATTCACATTCAAGTTCAGATTGCCTATTTGTGGACAGGGCAATAAGGAGAAGTTTGGGGTTTTTGGCAGAATCACATGATTTTTGTTCTTCTCAAAAGAAATGGACCCTCACTTAGGACACTGGCAGAACCAGAAGCAGAGGTCAAAGTTGTTAAACTTTGCTTTAAAAAAAAAAAAAGGTTTTATCCAAACAAATCCCACTTCTGCAGGTCAGTTTGTTTTCCAGTATCTTGATACAAACTACAGGAGAGCACAGGTACAGCTGGGCTGCAGCACAAGGAGGTGAAACCCAAGGATCCAGCCACAAATCTGGATGACGGCAAGCTGAAATTCCAGGCCCCAGCAGCAGCTCCAGCTGCCAGCCCAGGGGCTGGTGAAATGAAACCCCAGGCTCCAGCAGCAACACCTGCAATCCTGGTACCTAGAAAAACACAGCCCGAGCCCCAGGAACAGCCAGGGACTCCAGGAGAAGCCAGGGGCCCCAGGGGCAGCAGATGCCAGCCTGGAGCCCAACAGAAATGCAGCTGGAGGCCCCAGGAAGCAGTGCCAGCCCGGGGCCAACTCAAATTAAGAAGTTTTAAACTTTTTCTTTAAAAAGATGAACTCTGCAGTCCATGATTGGTTGACATTAAGAAGGCAGAAGCCAAAGCGACAACAGAGAGGCGAGGCTGGTTAAAGCAATATACATTATATACAAACTCTTGGGTTAATTAGTCCACTTGGTAGGCAACGTCCTTCTTGTCTACAAGGCGCACTGGAATGAGCAGGGGAGGAGAGGGGGGCAAGATTCCATCCGATACCTTCTTGGCACTGCAGTGGGAAGGTGCCAGCGCCTCTTGATAGAAAACATGGAGAAAAAATAATCTTTAAATAACGGCACAAAACTGAGAAAGTCCTCCCAAAGCCTGCCCCAGTGGAATTGCCCGAGTCTAGCTGGAGGGGCTGATCTGTCT